TCTTCTGTAATCCATTCATTTTTTTGAAAGAAGAAATCGGAAATGTTATTATTTAAAAATGAATAAACATAATTATTTTCTTGTTTCCCCTCAACATGCAGACATTTCTTTTTAATTTTGGTACAGACCAGAAACTCTGTCCCTCTCTCTCTCTCTCTCTATATATATATATATATATATATATATATATATATATATATATTGTAAAATATTAAACTTATTCAATATTTATATTTGTGTTCTTCTGTTTTTCATTTTTATGGACTATGTTTCTGAAAGTAACCATAGTCTTATACCAATGGTGTTGTGAATACTGTTGAATATAACTTCGAATGAATAAGCATTGAAAACTGGGAAGCAATAGATATTTATTTGTCTTGGAATGTGATTTCATAGAAGTATGCATCCAAAATTGCAACAGAGACATACCTAAGGAGCTTCAGATTTTGTGGTGAGAGCTTAATCTACACACCACTACATTCAGTGGTTAAGATTCTTTTTTCTATTAAAATAATACACATATTGAACTCATATAGAATGGAATGATTTCCAAAGTATAAAATATAGGATTTGACATTACGTATTGTTTAGTGAAAGCTTTAGTTTCTTCATTCCATTTATGCAATACCACTAGTATAAACTTTACAAAAAAAACATGACTTGAGATTTGAAAAATTATGTATTTTAATAAAGAGAACACAATCGTTTTATTATTAAGTTGAATTATAGTGTTTCGAAACTTTGTAAGGAACTCAGTAAACATTAACCTAGAATCCTATTGTGATTGTGTGAAGTTCATGGTCAAAAGTCAAGGAACCAATGCAAAACATGCGTTTAATACATTTTAGTCTACAGTGGTTATCTTAATGATAATACTACTATAGAAGTTTTGGAGAGATTATACTTACTGATGACCAATTATGACAAGTAATTCTCTGAAATTTTTTCAGAAACCCTAAAAAACGAAGTTTAACCATGTCGAATGTAAGATAGCACTCCCAACAACAGCATTAGCAGATGGTTGTGCACTATTCCGACTCAGTGATTTTGTTCACTAGATCTGATGTTTCTGGCGCTTTTTCCGACTGGATGGTGGATGCCCACCACTGAGGTCCCATATATTAGAACGGAAGAGCCATTTAAGACTCCTCGGTCTTCAATGATTCTTCAACTAGGACCAAACCAAGAAGTAAACCATAAAGTTAATGATTATAAGAAATAGTTGAAGTGATATCTCATATCATTTATTTTACTTCATGACCAATCTTACAATCATTATATAATTCAACTAGAAATAATCAGAATTATCTACAGTTACTTTTTAACCTAAAAGCATACAAATTGAATGATGCTTTGTTTTAGGACAACTTTTAATCAACAGTTGATTTAATTGTCACGTCAACTATGAAAATCATTGATTCACATGAAATCCTAACTATAATTAAAACTGACAACGATAATACTAAATTGTAATTGTCACATTATTTCTCTTCAATAAATTAATATCGAAAGTATAAAAATACGGTTATGTTAAACAGATTGAAACAAACCGAATTTATTTATTGTAACCGAATTGGCTATGAATTGCCCATGGATAACAATAATTGGCATACATGGCTTTACATCAAACTTTTGAAGGTTGAAAAAAAACAAAAAAATCATTTTTATATCAAACAATACTTGTAAAACTATTTGAAATCAGTTTAAAGGTGTACAGTTATAGTTGGGATTTGTTTCATTTATTAAATATAGGAATTAACATTAGATTTTATTCATGAGATAAACACTGATATTATTGTCCATTAAAACAATTCTATATAATCAAACCATAAAGTTTAGCGTATACAAAGCAACATAACTAATGTGAGCTATTCATGTTCCAAATTATTTTACGTTTTATTATGTCATACACTAATACAAATAGATTGGCATCATATGGATAATGATATTTAGCAAAACAGTAAAATATTCATGTAATTCCATTATCCTATATTTCTTTTACCTATTCAAGTATTTACTCTAACTTTAATCGTTATTGTGTATATCATGTAACCACATATTTTTAATATGACTGTCATCAGTTATAACATCAAACCTCTAACTTAACACGACTATTTCTTTGAATAATAATTTAAGCATCCACTTAGCTACAAAAGTTCTTATCAAATTGAATGTTTCCTTTGGTTTCTTAGAAATTTTTATTCTTTTCACTATATTCACATAATAAGCTACTGATAAATAAAAATATATTAGTAACTGTAAGGGTTTTAATTTTCATATCTTTAAGATTTAGAACTAAGATTTATTAGTCACTCACTAACCTATAAGGTTCCTGAATTAATGCCTCGATATCTACTGTATCCGTAAAGTAAAATTTCAAAGAGCCTAAGCGTTCGCGTGCCAGAATGAATGTCATGAGTTTAAGTCATGTGTGTGGGGTCATGGATACGTACTGTTGAAAAGTTCTATACTGCAACGAAACAATCATTCAATGCTTCCAGATTTTCATGAATGGTCTAACTCATGTCGACTTATGAATTCAACTATTAATATTCGAAGTAACAACTATCAGTGTTGAGTTATCGTTTGAGTACAAACGTCAAAAATGTCAATTTATATTCACCTGATTATTTCATTACTAGTCACTGTATAACATGTAATATTTTGTATGTAAAATGATTTACTTTTTATTAACTTTTATTTCATCCATTGTATTACTAACTAACAAATTACAAATTATAAATAATAAGATTCATTTAGTGGAGTTTTGTTCTCTGAGCTGAATGGTTTGGTCGTCCAACTCAGAGAAAAAAAACTCCACCGAAATCATCCACCTGAGCTACTAATCTTCTCTACCATCTCAATAAGATTCTTGTTAAATGATAACAAACTAAATTTTTATAAAAAATAAATAATTTTATTTAATATAAACTATATCACTATTTATTTGTATATTTAACTGTCAATCAGTAAATAAAATCAGTTTACTTTTACATTTCTATAGTATATCAGATGTACCATTGATTACAGTATTCTTAGTAGGTTCTATACTTTTATGCTTATTTGTAAATAAAAGAAAAACAAAAAAAAACAACAAAAAAAGACAAAAACAAAAACAAACAAACAAACTTATTATATTTTTATTGAAAGAAAAAAAAGAAAGAAAACTAAAAAAGAAACATTATTGTTTGAAAATCAAGTTACCTTCCATTATTTTTTATTGTTTAATTAAACACTTTAAATAAAATACATTTTCATTAAAATTTTAAAAAGGAAGAAGTAAAGTTTAATTCATGAATTACATTTCGTGACAATTGTATTGATGACTAAGTATTTCTATTTACAATTTTTTTTGTCTCATTTTTACAGTATTAAAAAAAGGAGAAGAAGAAAAAGAAAAAGAAAACATTATTGATGGTTCATATCATGGATTGACTTTAGTCAGATGATTATTGAAAACCAAAGTCATTTGAATATACTGTGTGTATCAAATGTATGTGTAATGTATAATATTGTTCATCTTACTTATTTAGAACCCTTTAAGTTTGGCAATGAAAAAGTATTACTTTTAACAGAATGAGTTATTAAGCAAAGATGGATAGTGGCTAGTAGTGGAATCCGTGATGGGCATTTCGTTCTATTTGGGACTCATCAGCTGGATGTACCTGCATCTCAGAGTTGATGTTCACTCTAGCACTCAAACTCAGTACCATTCATTTCAAACGCCATCACGTTATCCACTCAGCTACTGAGTTCTGATAGCCACTTGTTTTTGCAATGGGGTGAATTTAAATTCACTTGCTATTGTTTTGCTTGTATCTTCCCATTGAGGTTTAAGACTGCAATTGATCAATCTGTTATTGGCATATGTGCATACTGTGAATTAAGGTAATATCGAAGCATACGCATCGTATGTATATATACCAATAACAGACTGATCAATTGCAGTCTTAAACCTCGATGGGAAGATACAAGCAAAACAATACCAAACGAATGAATTATTTTTATTTTACAAAGTTTTATATTGATAAATTTAGTGGATTCTTAATATAAGTAGTTTATAGTCAATTTGTTGTGAATTTTGTGAAAACACTCAACAACTATGCTGTGTGATGATTATACAGTCACATTTATATATTCGTGACTTTTAATCAACTTATTTAGAAATGATATAATAAGTACTAGATAAATACTACAAGTCATGAGTTTGTATAGGAATATTTTTGAACAAATCATCTAAATCTTTGATGACTCTAGATGTTCAACAATCACAGTAAGAAATATACAAATATTTAGTGAAATTTGTCAAAAACATAATCAATGAAATGATACTTACTATTGAGGCATAAACCTTTCATGCTACAACTTATGTTAAAAATGTCATATAGGTTGTGTTGGTTTTAGCTTGATAAAGACTTATCATAGGAACTAACTATTACCGTAATCTGCGCATGATATGATTACATCATTCAATGAAATATATATATATATATATCGTTAAATTATGAAACCGTAAATAAAGGGACTACTATTAGTTCGAGTTGAAAATTTCGATTAGGAAATAAAAATGATTCAAATCTATCAATGATACTTCGAGATGAATAAGTAACTTGAAACACAATCATAAAAATTCATAAATTATGCTTATATTTGTCAGTATCTATTGTCTATAATGTTTCATTGAATAATGTTACTATCTTATAATGATAGATCATGCAATAAATAAATCATATTGCCTAAACAATTGAATACGACGTATTGGATCTTGCTTTTATTTTAATCAATTGCATTTAGTGTATCATTCAAACTTTATTTGAAAGTGATGTTAGTAAATTGATTGGTTTGATTACTACTAGTCACGATTGTCTAACAAAAATCTAATGTGATATAAACTTTAGTAAAGTTAACTAGTCACACACGAAATGAACACCTAAAATAAGCATTACTAATACTATCTTTATAGAATAAATAGTTTATTTAATAACCATAAGATGACTTACCAATTGATTTTTATGATATAATAATTCCAAATTATCGATGCTTACAGAAAGCTCAATATTCGTAGATAAATCTACAGAATAAATGGAACATAGTCAAATTTAAAGACGTTAACATTGATCATTGTTTAAATAGATAATGATAATTTTAACGTTTAGTGTTAAAAAATACTTATATTTATTTTCATATTGATTGTTTAGATCTCATTAATGTTAATCAGTCACTGAAATACAGATATATCCAGCTACCAAGTCCCAAATAAGATGAAACGTGATTCCTGAACTTTACCGCTAGAAACCACCCATCTCTGTTGAAAACACCTATAGATATATATTTATATTTATATGCAATAAGAGATTACACTGAAAACTGAACGAAATGTAATGGTTAAATCTGTTTTAGTCTTGACTAATAATTACAGTGCATTACGTGATCACTAATCTAGACTGAATGTCACTGTAACAGTAGAAGTGTTTAAATATTCCACAGAAAGGCTCAGATTCAGAGTTAAAACTTGTTTTATAAACTGTCGTCAAAGTAGTTCATACTTACCTAAGAATCCTACGGTATACAATACTTCCTATAAATTTTTTATTGAAATAAACATTTGAAATTAGCATGGAAGTAACTAGGATGATTTCAAAACTTATCATTATAAAACTAGAATAGTTAATACAATTGTTTAAGTATAAAACTTTACACTTATTTTACACAATATTTATACGTATTTATACAAAGATGATACAATTTAGTTTTATTTCTCAATCTGTAACACAAATAAATGTCTAGATTCATTCAATCGACTGGTCTTTCAACTTTTAACTAGTTATTTGGCTATACTTTAATATCTCACTATTCTTCATAACTCCTGAGAACAATTCTTGCATAGTCTGATAAAATTAAACAAGAATTTTGATAGATAACTAATTATCTTCTATAGTAAGTAGAATGTGTAAATATTGGTCAGTAAATATCATTTTCATCGTTTTAAATAATTTAATGTTTAAAAATAAATTTTAATAGTGGAATTCATGAGTCTATCTAAGCTAAACCACCATCAAAACTCAGAAGCATTAAATGGTCATTTTGTCCTAGTATTGGACTCTTCAGAAGTGTCCATCCAGGATCCTGCAAAAGGTGAATTCAACTACTAAAATTACAACAAAATCCATAAACCTCATTCTGATCATAAAAATAAATTAGTGAGATTCCTATTAGACAAGTTATTTAGTACAACTGCTATGAAAGAAACATTCATATTATTTGTGTGTTAAATTCTGTTATTATTTGTTCTAATATTTGAATTGTAGATGCTAGATTATAACTTTATAGATGTTTGTGGATTATTTAATATCAAATAATTTATGAAATGTTTGTATTTTATTCATTCAGAAGACTCCTTGAAAAAAAACACTTGTACGCAGTATCAAAACTTGTAAATATGACGAATGTATCCAGGATTCCAGCTGAGAATCCATAAATAAAGCTATTATCGTTATCACAGTTAGTTATATATAATATACCCTTTTGGGCCAGGGTAATTTTACATTGGTTTTCATGAGAACCAGACACCATCCGGACTGTCACGTGACAACGTAAACAGTACAGCTCAACCCTGTTTAACAGGAGAACCAGACATCATTATGCTAGACGTTTACCATTTAAATATTTTCTATTAACTCAAAATTTATATAGGTTATGTCAAAATAAAAGATAACTACCAGAAGATAGCTTTGGTCCCATTGATGGACCTGGTAAGTAACGATATAACTGAATCCATAATTGTTCCAACAGTTCAGGGCTGAAAACATTTAAAGAAACAAAAAGATGAAGTTTTAAAGTATGTTCATCATACATATATTTAATGTCATTTATCACTAATTTATTAAACTAAAACATTGTAGGTGTGGTGATATTGATCAATAATGGATAATAATAATGAAAGTAAATTCATTCTTTACTTTCCTAAAAATCTTTATTTTTGGTGTGATTTATCATTCGTCTTGCTGTGTTGAAGTAATGAGATAATTTAGCAGATGTAGATTATTGTCAGTTTCTACATTGACTAACTGATTTATTATTTTTCATTAATAGATGTTACTTCAAATGTTTATAATACATTTTAGAGTGTTAGTGTGAAACATCAGTTTGTTACTCAAATTAATTGTTATTTTAATATATGTTATATTTGCAAACAAATTATAAATCAAATTACCTAGTTATTATTAGCATTGTCTTCTGTAAATTATGAAATACACATACTGTGGCGTGTGCTACTTATATTGACATAAGTAGTATATGATTTTAGTCGTGAACAGAAGGTCTGGCAGCAGAGCGACAAGAGGATTGAACAGTAAAGAATGGAAACAAAATGCAAATTGCATGGAAACGCAAGAACAATGAAGTCTGAGTCATTTTGAGACAATTGATGAATATTTTGCAAATTAAGCATTTACTTCATGATTGTTAGATTTTATTAACAAGTTCTGTAATTTTGTGTTAAATACATTCGACTGTCCCCAACCGTGTTCTGTTCACTACAATACCAGCTTAGAAACCAAAAGTGTTAAAATATGCCTTAAATTGATTCAAGTGAGAAACTGGATTCATCTAGTATAACTACATATACAACGAATTTAATCTTTTTTTTAATTTGAGAGATGAGCTAATTATAAATCTACTTTGATAATAAAATCCTAAAATCAATAATCTATGGAACTTAACGGTCAGATAGTTTTTTAAGTTATTCAAACTGCAATAAATAAAAATATAACTATTATTTATATGAATATTGTGAAATGTAAGTGAATAGTTTGACTGTAGTTGGCCACTGAGTAAATAGGGGGTCTTAAATATAAAATTTGTATATTTAATAATTGCAGCAATTTAAACCTAAACACTTCCAGTTTTTCGTTTGGTATGAATATAACCTGTATATGAGATTTATAGACAGCGAGATATCATGTATTTTGTATTGAAAGTGATTTTTAGTCGATCTTGAAGTAACAATGTGTAAATCATTTTGTATAAATCACATCATGGACTGACTTTAATCAGACAACCATTTACAACATTTGAAGAGTCACATTCCCAAACAAATCAGACATTCGATGCTTTCTGATTTTTAATGATTGTCTAACAAAGGTCAAATCATGGTAACAATCATAAAAGTCAATAATCTTTACAAACCCACTAAACGTGGTAAATCCTCATGAAATGTTTTTCATATTAACATAATTGTTGAAATGCTGTAACCGAAATTCAAATAAAAACAATAATGATAATTTTTTATCCACACTTTTGAATTGAGAAGACAGATAATCAGAACTTAACTTAATTGATGCAAAAGGAAAATAATGATGTCTATCCACTGTGATCTATTTTTAGAAGTGTTTAGGTAAACAGTCAGTTTATTTCCTAAATTATGTAACTGAAAAATGTAAATTTTTATTATTGTATTAACAGGAGAATTATGTAAAGTATCGCTCACTCTTGAGGAATTGAAGTTTGCCGGTGACTTGGTGAATAGAGACCGATAATTCATGACTAATTATTTCAATGCATATATATGTATGAAACATAAAGGTGTTTGTATACATCTATCAAAATGTGAAGTGTAGAAATACTGTAAGAGCAAAAATGGATAGAGAATCTAAAAGAAAAACATTTCCTGGAAATATTTTACAGAATGATCTATTCACAAATAAGTAAATAAATACTTTCTGATTAAACTATCTGTATTAACCTAGTTTTGTAAATATTGTTATTTGATATGAAAGTTGATGAATTGATTTGGAATCTAGTGATGGTGAGACTATAATTTATGGACGACTTTTAGACGACGCTAAAGTGTACTTGAGAATGTCCACCTACTGACTAGAGCTAAATGAGGGTCTTTAACCAGTGTTAAAGATAAGGATTATGATTTACAGTTGATGGTCAGATATAGGGTTTTTATCACGAACTAACATCAGCTGAAAGGTCAAGACGCTATTTAACAAAATGGATAAAGACTTTCGCGCCGAAATGCAAAACCTGTTATCGTAAATCTGATTGGTTCGTCCATAAATTATAGTTTCGCCCTAGTGATTTATGAACTGTAATTTTAAATTAGAAAATCAGCAAACTCTTTGTCAGTTTCAAGTAGTTAAAATTCATAGTACTGAAGATTAATTTTAGAAAGATATTTGCTAAGAGTTACAAAACACCTATCTAGTAGTAGGTTAGTAATAATTCGATCAATTATCAAATATGTAATTCCAACAGTTGAGATCATGAGTCAATTAAAACTAGAACACCATGGAAAACCTGGAAGCAATGGATGGCCGTTTCGTCTCATCTGTGTGACTCCTGAGCAGTGCGCATCCACGACCCCGCCTCGCGGGATTCGAACCCAGGACCTATCGGTCTGGTGTCAGACGAAACGGTCGTTCAGTGCTTCCAGATTTTCTATGGTGGTCTAGCTTCAATTGACTCATGATATCAACTGTTGAAATCACTACAATCTCCACAAAACCCCTTCTGATATCAAATATGTCATTGTAATTTAAAAAGACAAACTTCAAATGTACTTATCAAACAAATGAAATTCTCTGAAAGCTGGTTGTCTGTGTTAAGAATTTTAATGAAAAACAATACCACTTGCGAAGAGTGATGTCCTTTATATATATTTTTTATTACTTACTTTGTAAGGAAAATGGTAAACCATGAAAGCATTCTTGTGAGAATGTCTCAATTACTTGACAGTGGTTAAGGGATGCTTCTTCAGTTATGATGAGTTTATATTGATCTTATCTTGAGATTTATCAAGATAAAGTTATTTCAAGTTTTAACACCATAATTGGATTAAAACAAGTTCTTCTAGAGATCTTAGGCTTCCTGAAGTAGCTCTTATTATAAGTTGAGAGCACAGAAAGTTAAGAAGTACAAACTTTTTCATTTATTTTGTAGTATACAACTAAAATATTTAAGCACTAGCAAACCTGATAATTATTTAAAATGATTTTTTAATAATAATATGAAGAGTCAAAATCGATTAGTTGTAAACTTGACAGCGTTTTACACGAGGTTTTCAATGCCATTTCATTATTACTGAGGAGGAAATTTTGATTTACTTCATTTCTATATGACTACAAATTCTATTAGTCCTAATTATGTTTACGTAAAACAAAATACAGTTTCTTTATTGATGTTTTGTAATTAATTAGATTAGGGGTAATTGAATATTAATAAATATATAGTACTAAGGGAAATTTATCACACTGATAATAAAGTTATTTTATAAGATTTTAAGAATAAACAACCTTCCACTGTGATAAACTTTAAAACGTTTAAGTATCAAAAGACATACTAGATGGTGGTCAAGCTACATCATGAGCTAGCTGAAGTTACAAATGTTGGTCAATAAACCAGAAACGTCGGTTTAATGTTTAAGCACAAGTCTTGAAACATAAAACTTGAAGTGTGATTATTGGTGAAGTTATATGTGTATACAGGATAGAAATTTCACTCCAGTATGAAACAGCTGTTCAGGGATACCTGGTTTTCACTGTCACTCTAAGATTTGTCTATAGTGAGTACCACCTTCAGAATAAAATAATCTCCACAAAACTACTTGATCTAGAAAAATGACATGTTAAGAAACTGATTTATCTTTATGAGTTTTTTTCTACACACAGTATCAAATTCGTCAGTTGCATTAGAAGAGTGTTTTTAACGCATTATTTAGTTCATGGTAAAACAACCAAATACTTGCGATTAGATATTTACAAGTTCATGAATAACCCATATGACGCATATTCAAAAACCATGACCTATTCAGACATATTTCATTAATCTTTATTTTATGCCGAATATTTTGAATTTAAACTACATACAATGACACATTTTACTGACTAGTTGCCTTGCCTTCGGGTATCTATTCACTTATTATGCTGAACAGTTTGTAACCGACTGCAATTATTAGTACTAAGTTAAATAATCAATTCCACAGGCATAAACATGTAAAATTGCTTTATGTCATATCATTAAGAAATTGAAACAGAGCTATCGATCAATCATCAGTTCGATCTTTATTTGTCAGTCACAAGTTTTATTTGCCAGTTAACTAAGGCATGTACAAATGTACAGTTCAATCATGTCACTTGGATAATAGTGTCATTTATTGAACCAAAACTTTACAGTGCGCATTAGATCATAACTAGGGTGATTTACAATATTTCTCTTGATTATTTATGGCTAAACAAACGGATAGCAATTTCACTTAAATTTACTAGCAATCATTTACATTTATTTATTTGCCTTTCTAACAGATAAGAACTGGATATGAATATTGACCTGAAGGAGATCTTTGGAATAGCTTTTGCAAAATATGATCAGCCTAATTTAAATGCGCAAAAATATACTAAACTAATTTTTAAACTTCGTAGTTTACATCACATGTTCATTTTAAATGAAAAACATAGATCACTGGGCACCTGGATCATAACCACACCAGTAATTGAACCTAGGACCTTTTATTCTCGTTGTAAGCGGTAACATTTTAAACCATTCTGCTTATATCAAATAGATTACATGTTTAACTTCAAATAAATTTGGAACTGAAGAATAATCTAATTTGTCTGCAGTGATTAATAATTTTAGGAATAATATTATTTTTGTTTTAATTTATATAATTTTGCATAGAACCAAAAGCATTAACTAAGTAGATACTAGTAGGTAATTACAGATTATCATTTCTATATCATAAATTCATTACAATTTATTCATTCATTTGTTGTATTTCTAGCGGTAGGTAAATAT